TCTGCTTATGCCTCAGTAACTGATGTCAATACTTAATTTGCCCGTCCGTCATTGCTCGCAAGTTCGTCTGGATTGCACCTATTCACGAGCGTCCACTCCGACCGAAAAGCGCGCCGACCGGGTATCGAACCCAGAGTCTGCGGACAGCAGGCGAACGCGTCACCGACTACACCAACCGGACGTCCAACATGGCTGTTTATTTTGTATTACCTATGTATCGCACCTGGCAGATAGCCCTTGTTGAGCTTTGTTTTAAACGGACGAAACCGCGCAATCTGACCTGTCACGCGACACGAGCGGCTGCGTCGACGCCGACCGAAAGACAGTCCTTCACATCCCGAACGTACTGACTCCTGCGCCGTTACGGCCAACTCACACTGTCAGACTGCCCCGATATGTATGTTTGCACATCGTTTGGTACTTACTTCTTGTTGCCCCTATAGAAATCCGTGCTGTGACAGTGACTACTTCCCGCTCCTGCAGATTGCGTCATTGTTGATTGTACGTTTTCTTAATTCATGATGCTTACTAATCCGTTTTTCTGTAGAACCAGTTCCTGTCAGTCTTCAATATATCATCTACTGCCCCACGTCTGTCTGCTCCTATTGATGGCTAGCTACGAACTGCGTATAATCTAATAGTCGCAATCGTCCTGTGAGATCCTTAACCGTCCGGATCTTACATACACTTTCAGTCAGCTTTTGGTGAGATCCTTAACCGTCCGGATCTTACATACACTTTCAGTAAATCAGCTTTTGGATGTGGTGGTCTGGCTGCCCAAAAAACTGCTCCAGCAGGAGTAGCCAGATCACTTTGAATTTAGTGAGCCCGAGTCTTTCTAGACATTTTTTATTTGTTCATTCTGTTTCGTCGTAGCTTTTTGCCCGGTCATTACGGATACACACTTTGATTCATCTGACCTAGTCGAGAATACGATTTGAATCCGTTTAGCATTCTATAATCCCCGTAATCCCAGGGTGTGGCTTTACCCAGTCGATGCTGTTTTCACTACCCGATGTATCGCTCCCCAAGCCACCCGTTTTTCTCATGCCGTCCAACATCTTTTTAATAATGTAGCAACATAAATGAAAGACGTTTTGGAAGATATCCTCGAAGAAAATTCCTATGAGGCTCCTCGAGCGCTGCCATTGGTAAGACAGGCAAATATGAAAATAAGATGCTTGGAGATTTATTGAACACAAGCCGTTGTCGTTTGTGATGTTTCCAGGCAACTGAATGTGCTGCATTAGGTCGCTTCACCGGGTGACGATAACTGATGAATCGTATAGATTCTGTTTGCCACGAAAGTACTATAACGAGTGGCAGTATTCCGTATATAGTGAAGCGCTATAGTGGAGTCCGTCCAATAAGTTGTTCTTGTGAACGCAAATCCTGCCTCCTACCTCAGTTCTTCCGCCACCCTTGCGGCTAGTCGCGCGGCATTCAACTCAAGCCTCGGCGCTGTTACATACTTCAAAGGCGCGACTCTGGATTTGGCGCATATCATCATGCATGTGAATTTCTCGGGTTCGACGCACCAGCGACAATACCCAACCACACCATACCCCACTTCAGAGTCCCCACTGAACATATGCAAGTCTACATTCGCATCATAAATATGAACAGGTTTCACGCAATGGGGTATTTTTAGTCCTCCTGATGATCTCATACTTTTCAGCCATCTATGTCACTCCTCTGAGTCCTCGTCGCCCAGTTTATCATCCCAATGTAGTTGCTTCTTACACAGCTTTTATAATAGTATTTAGCTGGCAAAAGCAAAGGGGCTACTAAACCCAAGGTATCAAACGGGGAAAAGATCGAAGGCGGTATTCCCCGTCGGGTGAACGGTCGATCGGGAAAAACGAAGGTGAAGCGAAATTCGTCCGCTTTAGCATCCCATTTCAAACCAAACGTCCTTTCAACTGTATAAAAGGCTTCATCGATAGAAAGCACCGATGACGAGATATCTGACTCACATACCTCACTCGAGAGAGACCTTCTATCACCTATCCATTTTATTGAGTGGAAACCACCCTTTGATAAAACTCTACTAAGCTCACGCACGAATCCTTGAGCCACGTTCACATCCGGCAGTGATGCTAAACAATCATCAACGTAAAAGTATCTATCCACTGATTGTTTCACTTCAATCATGCGATTCGATCCCCAGTCTGAGATCGCCTTTCTTAGGGCGAAATTGGCACAGAATGGTGAGGACGTGGCGCGAGATGGATGGGATGTCATTTGGAACTGCTTCGGCTCGATGGACAAGTCTTCCGAATCCCACCATTACACATACGCTGCACCCTTGTTACCTTCGGGAACCTTCACTTGCATGAATTGTGATGTTTCCAGGCAACTGAATGTGCTGCATTAGGTCGCTTCACCGGGTGACGATAACTGATGAATCGTATAGATTCTGTTTGCCACGAAAGTACTATAACGAGTGGCAGTATTCCGTATATAGTGAAGCGCTATAGTGGAGTCCGTCCAATAAGTTGTTCTTGTGAACGCAAATCCTGCCTCCTACCTCAGTTCTTCCGCCACCCTTGCGGCTAGTCGCGCGGCATTCAACTCAAGCCTCGGCGCTGTTACATACTTCAAAGGCGCGACTCTGGATTTGGCGCATATCATCATGCATGTGAATTTCTCGGGTTCGACGCACCAGCGACAATACCCAACCACACCATACCCCACTTCAGAGTCCCCACTGAACATATGCAAGTCTACATTCGCATCATAAATATGAACAGGTTTCACGCAATGGGGTATTTTTAGTCCTCCTGATGATCTCATACTTTTCAGCCATCTATGTCACTCCTCTGAGTCCTCGTCGCCCAGTTTATCATCCCAATGTAGTTGCTTCTTACACAGCTTTTATAATAGTATTTAGCTGGCAAAAGCAAAGGGGCTACTAAACCCAAGGTATCAAACGGGGAAAAGATCGAAGGCGGTATTCCCCGTCGGGTGAACGGTCGATCGGGAAAAACGAAGGTGAAGCGAAATTCGTCCGCTTTAGCATCCCATTTCAAACCAAACGTCCTTTCAACTGTATAAAAGGCTTCATCGATAGAAAGCACCGATGACGAGATATCTGACTCACATACCTCACTCGAGAGAGACCTTCTATCACCTATCCATTTTATTGAGTGGAAACCACCCTTTGATAAAACTCTACTAAGCTCACGCACGAATCCTTGAGCCACGTTCACATCCGGCAGTGATGCTAAACAATCATCAACGTAAAAGTATCTATCCACTGATTGTTTCACTTCAATCATGCGATTCGATCCCCAGTCTGAGATCGCCTTTCTTAGGGCGAAATTGGCACAGAATGGTGAGGACGTGGCGCGAGATGGATGGGATGTCATTTGGAACTGCTTCGGCTCGATGGACAAGTCTTCCGAATCCCACCATTACACATACGCTGCACCCTTGTTACCTTCGGGAACCTTCACTTGCATGAACACTTCGGAAATGTCTGCAGCCACGGCTATATAATTACTCTGGATGCGTAAAAGAACTCCTAACGAATTTGCAGTAGTGTCGGGATACAATCTGTCGTTCAGGGATACACCCTCAAACTTAGCCGCGCAATCTAAGACGACTCGCAGCTTTTGTGGTTCCTTAAGGTTCAAAATGGGGTGATGAGGTGTGTACCACTTCTTTTCGTTCCCTGATTTAGGTTGCTGAGTAAACAATGGTTCGAGATAGCCCTTAAGGCTGTTATCATTCATGCGTTGTCCGTATCGCGCTAAGAGAGTCAGATCCTTTGCAAGACGCCTCCTCATATATTGCAATCGGAAATGAGCTAGACGATAACTGTCAGGAAGTCCTTTAGCCGTTCTGCACGGTAATGGTAGTTCGTAATGAACATCCCTAAACATTGAAGACTTCAATAATTCGAAGTGTTTCTTTGTCTTCGAGACTTTGGCATACGCCTGGAGCGTCTAATTCGTTGAAATCGGCCTCGTGTGTGGTCTTTAGATGGCCAGTTATTTCATCTTTCATACGTGGTGCACTTGTCTCCAGAGTTCATGTCCTATGGACAACGGGCTAAGTAGAACCCAACCCAAAGGCGTCTTGACAGCGTAAGGTTCCTTTCGCTTGTCCAACCTTTTATCCACAGGCCAATGTGCCTCTGGAACGTCTTCTCCTATCAATATTCTCACACGCTTATCAGGGAGCTCTGTAAAGGTAGTATCCTTCAAGTGATTATATTGACTAGTTATCTTCGTTGGGATCATGACACGTGGGCTGATGGGCTGAGAGCATAATGAAAAGACCTGTTCAGCCACTAAGGCCTCACCTTGATCTACCGATTCAAACTCGATTCTGAGACTTCCAGCCTCAACAGTAGTGGTCTCACTCACTGTTGATAAATTCAAAGTTGTTGGAGTGTCGGTCAGACCAATCTCACCAGGTAAGTCTTTCGTTACGAATGTTACGCCCGACCCACTATCCAACAATGCGTACGTGAGAACGCTGCCTTGCAGACCATTCACACGAACCGGTATGACGCCAAGGTAGGTTTTTGATTCCGTCTGAGATGTCGAGTTGCACAAACCAACCAATGTGGTTTTGTTGGCAAATGGTATTACATGTAATAGATAATGGTGAGACCCCGAGCAGCTCTCTATACCGCACTCCTTAGGAAAATCGCACCTGTTACTGGCATGGCCTGGTTTTAGGCATACAAAACATAGTCGCTTTCTTCTCGCCACACGCCATCTTGCTTGCGTTGGCAGGTCAGTAAACCTACGACATTTTGTCAGCCCACATCTGCTGTCGCAAAAAGGGTAAGAGTCATTGGTTCCCTTCTGAATGGCGAATATGTTATGACACCTTTCGTTGCCTACCCGATGTTGCTGCGTTTGAAGACGATGGTGTTCTGAGCTTCAATTGATCATACCTGCAAGCACTGCGGGCTTCTTGAGAAACGGAGTTGCATGGAAACCTATCTGTTTTCCAAGGTTGTCCACAGAGTCTGCCAACCTTGCTCACTTCAGACGAGCATCCTTAAATAACGTGCAGAGAGCGTGCTCTATGATCGAGGCGGAATTCATATCACCAGCATGATTCACCTGACTTAAAGAAACGTGACGGTTTTGAAGATTCACCGACAAACAAGACGGTGAAGCTGCATCATCGTGCGATGGTTTTAATTTCTTAAACAAATCGTTCAGTATGGCTCTGCCCACCCTATGTTCCCTTCCAAAGAGATCCTTAAGTATTTCTCCCACTCTACCTCATTCGATCTCCGGTGGCAACACTGAGCACTCAGCCACGGCTTCCTTCGCTGGACCCCTACAGTAATGAGTCAAATATAGCATTCTCTGCCAATCATCTTGCACTCTATTGTCTGTGTAGTATTTGGACTGTTGAATAAATCCTCAATAACACCTTGGGTTGTCGTCGAAAGCCTCTAAGTTCAATCCAGGTGAGTCTGTCTTAACCACACAAGAAGTCAGTTGGACCAATGGTGGCTAGCAT